ACACACTAGTATACTCTAGGATTTGTGTGAGCCTCAGCATTACACATTTACACACACTAGTATACTCTAATTACTCAGCACATGTTTGTAACCAGGACTCAGGAGGTAGAAGCTGTCGGGTCAATATTCACGTAATCCTCACCCGCAGTGTTTGAGCCAGCTGGGGCTACATGGGACCTTATCTCAAAAATAAAATCTAGTTTCCTCTATTTCCAACAGGGTAAGAGTGTACTGAGACCGAAATGGTAGTGAATCATTCTGTTCTGGGATATTTTTCCTTATCTTGTGGGCCAACTCCAGTAGCCAGCGAATTGAATGTTACGACTGTGTTCAATACCTTCTGACTGAGGACAGATGGCTGGATAGTGAGTGCTCGCTCCTTATCTCTCTCTCTCTCTCTCTCTCTTTAAACTTTCCTGCTGCTTTTATTTATTTTTTTTTAATATTTATTTATTCTGTCTCTGTGTATTTCTGCAGGCCAGAAGAGGGCACCAGACCTCATTACAGATGGTTGTGAGCCACCATGTAGTTGCCGGGAATTGAACTCAGGACCTTTGGAAGAGTAGACAATGCTCTTAACCACTGAGCCATCTCTCCAGCATCCTCCTGTTGCTTTTAAATTTAGGAGTTCCTTTAGGTACAGAACGTATTTGGCACACTAGCTTGAAGCAGGGGCAGTTCTTCCAAGTGCATACTTAACTCTCCAGGCCGCGTCTGTGGAAAAATCTGCCCTTTTGCACCATTTGTCTTTTTTTTTTTTTTTTTTAAATGCCAGGAAGCACTTTAGGACATTCAAACCCAGAGAGGAAGGAAATAAAGAGGTTAGGAAAGTATGAGTCTTAATCTTGCAATCCAAACATTTGGGAGACAGAGCAGGAGGATGCCGCGAGTTCCAGGCTAGTTCTGTCTAAAAGATGGCACAAACCTTTAGTCCCAGCACTCTGGAGGCAGAAGGTTCTCTGTAAATTCGAGGCCAGTCTAGACTACAGAGCTACAAAGACAGACCCTGTCTCAAAACAACAAAACAGGCGTACGTGATGGGTAGTTAGCATAGAGACACTTGTTCTGGGAATGGTAACTCCTCCCTTACAATGCCAAGGTTAGATTTACGTGCGTTCCTTTACCCCTGCGCAGTACATTCCACCCCCTCCCCCCCCAACTCCTTGCCTTGCCCCTCCTCCCCCTGCTCCGCAAGCTCTTTGGGCTCAACCCTCTGCTCAGGATTGCTCCGCCCCGCCCCTCACCCCGCCCACACACTTAGCCCCGCCCCTACGCTTGAGTCCCGGGCCGCGTTCCGGCCTTCACGACAGAGCGGGTGCTTTCCGCTTTCCGGCCTGCCGCGCGAGTGTTGACGTGTAGAGGGGGCGGGGCCTAAGAAGAGTTGAGGGTTTCCACTTGCTCGCACCCGGCTGCATAGGGCCAACTATCTCTGCAGTCATGGCTGTGCATCGTTGCTCTGCACGGACCGTTACCTCCTCAGGTAGGCTGGCTGAGGGTTGGCGAGAGGGACGGTGGCCTTAGTGAGGAAGGGGCATATTGGGAGAGATGGTAATCTTGTGTTGTGAGTCCGTGGGAGGATCCTGGAGGAGGGCCTGCCACCCAGAAGCTTGCAATAGTCCGATCAATGGGAGAACCCAGTGGGGTGGAGACCCTAGGCTATGGGGACTTCGGTTTTCCTACGCACACATTTTCCCCACTTCTTGGTTGTAGATAAAATGCAGAAAAACAAGTCTGCACGGACATCAGGGCTCAGCCAGGGCAGCCGCATGGAGAAACTTTTGGGGTTTGAATGGACAGATTTATCTAGCTGGCAGAGTGTCGTGACCCTGCTTAACCGACCAACGGACCCCGCAAACCTGGCTGTCTTTCGTTTTCTTTTTGGTAAGTCCATTTTCTGGTCCCAGACATTTTGGCTGGGCTTAGGAAAATGACATCCTATTTCTTTTTACGATTTATTTTATTTTGCGTGTGTGTGTTAGTTTGCCTTCTGTTACTGTGATAAAACACCATGACAAAAAAGCAACATGGAAAAGGAAGGGTTTACTTCAGCTTAGAGTTGTAGTTCATCATGAAGGAATGGATGTTAGGGCAGGAACCTGGAGGGCAGAGCTGGAAAAGAGTCCCCGGAAGAACCACAGTGGCTGCTGGCTTGCTCCTTGTGGCTTGCTCAGCCTGCTTTCTTATACCACCTGGGATCACCTGTCCACACAGTAGGCGGGGCTCTCCCACATCAATGCTCACAGGCCAATCTGATTCAAGGCATTTTCTCAATGGAGGTTCCTCTAGATTGTGTTAAATGGACAAAGATTAACCAAGATAGTTTCTGTATGGATGTGTGAATGTGTGCCAGGTATGTGCTTGCTTGTTGAAGCCAAAAGAGAGTGTTGGATTCCTTGGAACTGGAATTAAAGGCAGTTATACTGCTTGATATGGCTGCTGGGAATTGAGCTCTGGTCCTTTGGAAGATCAGCGCATGCTCTTAACTGCTGAGCCATGCTCCCTAGTCCAATCACCTATTTCTTAGTTATTTCTTAGATGTTCTTTTCCTTAGAGCTGAAAGTACTGAAATAATGGAAGAATTCTTTGGAAGTTTAGAATTGTAACCTGGCCTTGTCACCTCTAGTTAGGGTTTAGTGCTGAGAAACGCTTTGGTCTGTGCGCACATGTGCATGTAGACCACAGGTCAATGTCAGGTGTTTTCCTTAATCATTTCTCCACCTTATTTTTTTAAGACAGGGTTTCTCCTGAGCCTGGAGGTCACCAGTTGAGTTAGACTGGCTGGGCAGCAAGTCCCAGGAGCCGTCCTGTCTTCCTGCCTCCACAGCACTGAGATTGACGGCTGCTGTGCCAGGCTTTCTACATGAGTGCTAGTGATCTGAATTCAGGCTCTCATGCCTACAGCAAGCACTTTCATTTTTACTGACTGAGTAATCTCCCCAGCTCTCTTCGGTGTTTGAAATGGTCTTATTCCGTAGATCAGACTTATCTGGCCTCTCAAGTGCTGCTCTTCCTGCTTCTTGAATACTGGGATTGCAAACACCATCACACCTGACAAGGGACCCATTTTATTCATGTCAGGAAGCTACTTAGGAGTTAAGTGTTTCAGAGAAACACCCTAGCACCTCAGAGAGTTAGGATGTGCCGAGACACTACCCTAGCAGCTCAGAGAGTTAGGATGTGCCGATACACTACTCCTTTAAGTCCAGTAGCTTCCAGCTGGAGGCCATTTTGCTTCCTGAAGACATTTTTAGTTAGAACTTTTGAAGAAGAGGAATAGGTAGTGGTTGCTGGCATCTGTACTGGTACTAGGATGCACTAGATGTCTTGTGATGAACGGGTAAATACCCCTACAGATGATTAACCAGACTGGCTAACGCAACTGCTTCTGGGATTGAGAAACTGCCTGATCCCAAACTGCCTTCCAGAGCCAAGTGTCCCTTATTTATCTTAGTGTGTTGACCAAATACCACTGCCTTTCTGGGTGTGTCAGTGTAGTAAGGAGGCAGCTTGTTGGTTCCTGGCCGCTTAGCCCCGAAATAGTCACCAGAAACTGTATTAATTAAATCACTGCTTGGTCCATTAGCTCTAGCTTCTTATTGGCTAACTCTTACATATTAATTTAACCCATTTCTATTGATATGTGTATCACCACGTGACTGTGGCTTACCGGCTAAAGTTCCATCTGGCTCTGGTGGGGCTACATGGCTTCTGACTCCGCCCTTTCTCCCAGCATTCAGTTTAGTTTTCTCTGCTTACCTTTATTCTTTTGCCCTATCAGGCTAAGCCAATTTTCTTTATTAATTAACCAATTGTATTCACAGCATACAAAGGGGAATCCCATATTACGTCAGGAGGCAAAAAAAAAAAATGTGTTAAGAATGTCCCCGGAGCACTTTTTTTTTTTTTTAAGAAAAAAGATTTATTTATTTATTATGTATACAACATTCCTTCCATGTATGCTTGCATTCATCTATAATGAAGATCTCATTATAGATGGCTGTGAGCCACCATGTGGTTGCTGGGGATTGAACTCAGGACCTCTGGAAGAACAGTCAGTACTCTTAACCTCTGAGTTAACCTCCAGCCTGCCCCAGAGCACTTTTTATGGCTCAATAGGGTGTATCTTTATAGATGTAAGTAATTGAACCCTAACAGTTTCTATAGTGTTTTATACATAGCTCTTACTTAATCCTATCTGCAGCTCTGTGACATTTTGTTATTGTTTGTCTTGTTTGTTTTTATTTTTTGAGATAGGATTTCACTGTCCTAGATGTACAGTCCTGGTTGATCTGCCACTTACTATGTAGGTCAGGCTGGTCTAAAGCTCACAGAGACCTGCTTGCCTCTGTCTTCCTCCCCAGTGCTGGGATTAAAGGTGTAGTCTAGGATCACTGGCTTGTGAAGTATTTTTTTTTTAAAGATTTATTTATTTATTATGTACACAGTGTTCAGCCTCCATGTATGCCTGCAGGCCAGAAGAGGGCACCAGATCTCATTACAGATGGTTGTGAGCCACCATGTGGTTGCTGGGAATTGAACTCAGGACCTCCGGAAGAGCAATCAGTGCTCTTAACCTCTGAGCCATCTCTCCAGCCCCCGTGAAGTATTTTTTTAAAGCTCTATTTTAGTGTGTATATTGTGTGAGTGCTTGTACACACTCCCACGTGTGTGCGCACACTCCCACACGTGTGCACACTTCCACACGTGTGTGCACACTCCCGCGCGTGTGTGCACACTCCCACACATGTGTGCACAGGTGAGTGTTCCTGCACACGTGCATAGGGGCTAGAAAACAGTCTCTGTCACCCTCCATTCACTAGTTTCTTTGAGGCCAAGTCTTTCCCTGAGCTCCTGGGGCTTGCGGTTCCTCAGCAGGCTGGAAGCCAGGAAGCCAGGAAGCTGGCGTTACAGCTGTGCATAGAATTCCCAGCTTGTTATGCAGTGCTGGAATCGGAACTGCAGTCCTTATGATTGCTCAGTGGGTCCACCTCTCCAGTGGCCCTACCTCCTCACAAAGTATGTGCATGATTTACAAGTGGGAATCAGCTTGTGAGCTTTAGGGTTTGTCAGACCACACAACTAGCGTAATTCCTAGCCCAGAATAGACTCAGTACTAATGGTAGGGACTAATAACAGTGGCTATTATTTTGGGCTTTTTTTTTTTGAGACAGGGTTTTTCTGTTTATCTCAGGCTGGAATGGAACTCACTGTGTAGCCAGGCCGTGGTGAACTTCAAGTGTGGCGGTGCACGTGCTGAGAGCTGTGTCGTGCCTCCTTAGCAGATGCCTAACAGCTGTCTTCCCCCACTTGCTTTCATAGCGTTCTTGATGCTACTGGACATTCCCCAGGAGCGGGGCCTTAGCTCCCTGGACCGAAAATACTTGGATGGGCTGGACGTGTGCCGGTTTCCTTTGTTGGATGCCTTGCGCCCTCTGCCGCTTGACTGGATGTACCTTGTCTACACCATCATGTTTCTGGGTGAGGGGAGCTGGGTGCTGGGGATCTGAACTGGGGAGAATTGACTGAGCTGGTAGAAATGCAGCAGAAGCATGCTGGTGAACCAACTTCCTCCGTGATTCGGCCTCATGTTGCTCGTCTGTTGTCATGTGAGCCGTCACGACCCTATAACTCTTCTTTCATTTAGTTCTCTGCCTGATTATAAAATGCCTGCTGACTTTTCTTAACTTCAGTCCCAGGGAAGCTGGGCCTGTGGTGACACTTTGACCTTGAATCCTCTCCTCACAAACCCCCAGGGGCACTGGGCATGATGCTGGGCCTGTGCTACCGGCTAAGCTGTGTGTTATTCCTGCTACCCTACTGGTACGTGTTTCTCCTGGACAAGACATCGTGGAACAACCACTCCTATCTGTATGGTTTGTTGGCCTTTCAGTTGACATTCATGGATGCAAACCATTGCTGGTATGTGCCTTGGAAAGTAGGGTAAGGTGTGTCTGGGTCAGGATGCTCGCTAGAGAGACAGGGGCCCAGTGAAGTCCCAGAAATTGTCGCATAGGCACAACTTTTATTGGTGCTTTGGTCTTTTGGGAGGGAGGTTTCAGGTGGGATTTGTATTGCTGTATGCCAGGCTGGTCTGGAACTTACTGTGTCATCTAGGCTGGTCTTGAACTTGCTGTTCTCCGGTCCTAGCTTGACTGCTGGAATTCCAGCTGTGAGCCACCATGCTGATTCAAAGACATTTTAAACCAAGTTTTGCAAAGTATGGTTTGAGATCATACTTTGACTTTGATGGATTTGGGGGACCATGTGGGTTCTGGGGCATCCTTCTGAGGTAGGCTTGATTGTGGTGCCCCTCTTCGCTCAGCTGTATTGCTTGCCTGACTTGGGTCGATTTGGGAAGCGGAAGGGTCAGCAAGTTGGGTGATTGCAATGACATAGGAAAATGGCTCCATCCCACCCCTTTACTTTTTCCATGTCTCTCCAGATACCTTGATATATCACTCCTGTGTCCCTCTTAGAAGAAGAGAAGACTAAAGCCAGACATAGCTGTTTTCATATGCTCCAGGGTGCAGACTTTACTTTCTGTGTGTGAGCCCAGAGATGCAGAGTTAGAGCCCAGTGTAGAGGTGGCTGTGAGGTGGCGATGATAGCAGATGCCAAGAGAAGAGCCACCACGGTTGCCGGCAGTGCTGACCTAGAGAGTAACCCACTCCGCTCTGGCCTAGGTGACCATCTCTCAGGGCAAGTGGGGCAAAGCCGTGGAGCCAGGGTGGCGGGACAGTGAGAGCAGCTGTGGACCCTCAGTGAGCTGGTGGAAATGGCTCAGCGGTGATATACGAGTACATGTTTCTCTCCCGTAAAGCTTTGTGTGTGTGCCCGTGTGCTGGGGATTGCCCCGGCCTCCTGCATGTACGCTACCACAGGGCTACGCTCCCAAACCCCAGTCCTCACCTTTGCTGACTTGAAACCCATTCAGGGTGTCTAGCTTTGATCCTAGAGAATTAAGAGGTCATTTTGACAGGTATCTTCAACTTCCAATTTCCATTTTTGTTATTTTTAAACATTTTTAAAAAATTACTATCACATACTCAGGACTTTTTTTGTGGCAGGCATATTTAAATGTTTTTCCTCATTCAAACCTATGAAGAGACAGGTTTAGTTGCTCAAGCCCAGCACTTTGGGATGCTGAGGAAGAGGGTTGCTTTGAATTAGAGACCAGCCTAGGATATCTATATTAAGACCTTGTCTCAAAACAAACAAATATTGGGGGGGGGAGCGGGAGGGAAATGGGAGAAGGGGAGGAAGTGGAAATTTTGAATGGTATTATTTATAAAGCAATAAAAAAATAAAAAAACAAACAAATATGAGGTCCCTAGAGGTGAACTAATTTTGTAGATGAAGTAAGTCTTGGGAAGATAAAGACTCTGCCTAAGGTTACACAGCAGAGAGGAAACAAATGACCTCATTGTTCTTGACTGTAGGTCTAGGCTTTTGCCCACAGTGTAAGCCCCGTTCTCCCTAACTTCTTCCAGACATGCTTAGTTTCTGCCTCAAAGTAAATCTAGTGTTAGTATCCTAGCTTTTTCAGTTCTCTCGCACACAGGATAAAATTTAAAGTCAGGAGTCCTCTACCACTGGATCCAGTTTTATAAATGTCAATTTATGCTCTGCATTATTTTGCTGGGAAAGATTTTGAATTTATTTTTTCTTTTTTACTCTTTTGGAAATGGGGGTCAAACTCAGGGCCTTGTACGGGCTAGGCAAATGATGAGTGATCTGGACCACTTTCCCAGCCCCTTTTGAGATAATAGACTGTATAGATGAATGTGGTGGTGCTCGCCTTTATTCCCAGCATTGATGAAGCAGAGAGGTGTGAGGATTTTAGCTTGGTCTACATGGTGACTTGTAGGCCAGCCTGGGCTGTAAAGACCTTGTCTCAAAACACCAAAACAAAATAAGAGACAATGCACTGTACATGTATTTGTGTGTGTGTGTGTGTGTGTGTGTGTGTGTGTGTGTGCATGAGCTTATGCACCTTCGTGTCTGTGTTTTTTATTTCATGTGTGTATATATTAAGCTTACATGTATGTATTTGTACCATGTGTGTTCCTGGTGTTGGTGAAGGTCAGAATATGGTTCTGGACTTCCTGAAATTGGAGTTACAGGCAGCTGTGAATTACCATGTGGGTTCTAGGAGTTGAACCTGGGTCCTCTAGAAGTGCAGTTAGTGCTTTTAACCATCTCTCCATTCCCTGTTTTGTGATTTTATTGTTTAGTTATTTGCTTTTTTTTTTTTTGACACATAGTCTTACTATGTAGTCCTAGAACTTGCTATGTGGACCAGGCTGAGCTCGAACTCATGGGGATCTGCTGGCTTCTGTCTGCTGAGTGTGTGCACCATGCCCAGTCTATTTTTATTGTTTTAGTTGTAGTTACTGTTATGATGGGGTTGGGAGCATGGTAGAGGGGACAGGGGTGTAAGTATGTGCTGTATGTGCAGAGGTCAGGGTTTTGTGAACTCCGGGATGACCGCTGGTTGCTGCCCTGAGCCATTTCTCCTGCCCACCCTTTAGATTTGTCAAATGCTCCCTCAAATTTGTTCCTCCTTGTCATTTCTATTATAGCTTTGAACCTGATCTGATTCCTTAGGACAAACTGAAGTATGTGTGTGTTTTGAGTCTGACTCTCATTGTGTGTAGATCACTGGCTTCAGACTTGCAGCAGTTTTCTTGCCTCTGCCTCCTGGGCTGGAATTGTAGTCATGTCTGCTTTACCGTACTGCTACACTGAAGATTTTATTCTTGATTGTTTGTTTGTTTGTTTGTTTTCGAGACAGGGTTTCTGTATATAAAAGCCCTAACCATTCTGGAACTTGCTTTGTAGACTAGGCTGGCTTCGAACTAACAGATATCCAACTGCCTCTGCTTCCTGAGTGCTGGGATTAAAGGTGTGCACCACCACACCTGGTGAGTTTTTATTCTTATTTATTTATAGACAGTTTCTGACTTAGGGTTCAACTTCAGTGTTTTTTGGCATGGTGGCAAGAACATACCTGTACTACTCTCTTACTTAGTTGACACAGTGTTCAATGAAATATTCAATGCTTTATAAAATAGGCTTTGTCTTGTATGATTTTGCCCAAGTGTAGGCTATTGCAAATGTTCTGAGCACATTTAATACAGTGTATAGGCCATGCTGTGATACCCAGTAGGTTATGTATATCAAATACATTTTCAAATTAAGGCTATCTTCATCTTAGAAGGGGTTTATTTGGGGTATTACTTTCTAAGCTACAGAACATCTCTAGTAGTATTCTTTCATGATCTTACCAGTAATTACCATTACAATGTAAATGTAAGCATATTGCCAAGCATGGTGGTACACTCCTGTAATTCTAGTACTTGGGAAGTAGAGGCAGGAAGATTAGAAGTTCAAGGCCAGTTTCAGTTACCTTGTGAGGCTGAGGCTAGTCTGTGATGTGAGACCCCCTTCTCAACATCATGTCCCAGGAAGATCTACTCGTGTGTTTCCTGAGGGCCTTGTTTTGTTTTTTTTGAGACAGGGTTTCTCTGTGTAGCCTTGGCTGTCCTTGAACTAACTCTGTAGACCAGACTGGTCTCAAACTCAAAGTTCCTCCTGCCCTGCCTCCTGAGAGCTGGGATTAAAGGTGTGTACCACCATTGCCCAGTTTGAGAACTATTTCGGAGGTAAATAGGACTGGCCTAATTGGAGGGTGGGAATGTAGCTGAACTAAGAGACTTTTCTTGATGCTTTTCCTCCTTCCTGTAGGTCTGTGGATGGCCTGCTGAATGCCCAGAAGAAAAATGTCCATGTGCCCCTTTGGAACTACACCGTCCTGAGAGGCCAAGTATAGAATCTCGTGTGTGTGTGTGTGTGTGTGTGTGTGTGTGTGTGTGTGTATGTCCAAACCTTACAGCTGGATCGAGTCCAGAGTCTCCATTTCTTTATTGTTTGATGCTGCCTATGGCAGGCTAGCTGACCCAGGAGCCTCCAGGGATTTGCTGTCTCCATCTCCCGTCTTACTGAAGGAGAACTGCAAATACAGATGCACAGCACGGTGTCTTCCTTTACATGGGTTCTGGAAATTCATGGAGAATGCTTTTCACCTGTACACCTCCCAGTCATAGGTTTCTCTCAGTAGGCCAGGGGCTCCTTGTGAGCGGTTGCTGGTCTGCAGTGGCTAGAGACCCTCTCCTCTGCCTCCCTAGATTCTGTCTTCTTTTAAAAAGATATCTATTTATATAGTTGGGCATGGTTGTACACATTTTTAATTCCAGCCCTCAGGAGGCTGAGAAGATCTGTGAGTTTAAGGTCAGCCTGGTCTACATACTGAGTTCCAGGCTATACAGTGAGACCTAATCACACACACACAAAAATGTTAATTTATTGTGTGTGTGTGCATGCTTGTGTGCATGCATGTACCTACCACATGACATACATGTGGAGATCAGAGGATAACTTAGGAATCGGGTCCCTCCTTCCACTGTGCTGAGCAGGATGTCTCTTGATGTTTCTGTCCTGCTGCATACTCCAGGCTCACTGACCCATCTCTGCCTCCCGTTTCACTGTGGCAGTGATTACAGATACATCCCACGGCACCTTTTTCCTCTGGGAATCGAACTCAAGTTGTCAGCCCTGTCCGACATGCACTTTCACCCACTAAGCCTTCTTGTTGGCCCTTTTTGTTTCTTTATTCCTTTTGCTGGAAAGCTAGATGGGCCCTTCCTTTTTCCAGTTCCCCAGTCCCTGAGTTCTCAGCCCCTCATGGAATGAATAGCACCTTGTCTATTAGATTAGACTCCCCATGAAATAACCATGTCTGTGCTTTTATTTTTTCTTTGTGCCTGGCATAGGTAGTTGTTTGCTTGTTTGTGTGTTTTGAGCTTGTTGGTTGAATGTCTGTGTGATGAAAGGTTAGAGGAATGGCTGTGTTCTTCCTTGGGTACTGGCTAAGCTGAGAGCTTTATTCTTTAATTTTTTTTAAAGTTTCATTTATTTTTTTTAATTGTTTTATTGAGCTATACATTTTTCTCTGCTCTCCTCCTTTCCTCCCCCCTCTCCTTCTACCCTCTCCCATGATCCCATGCTTCCAATTTACTCAGGAGATATTTATTTTTATTTATGTATGTTTGTGTGCCAACTTGTCTGTGTGTACCATATGCATGCAGTGCCTACAGAGACCAGAAGAAGATGCCCTAGAACTGGAGTTATAGGTGATTGTGAGCTGCTTGTCAAACCCAGGTCATCTCTAAGAGCAGCAAGTCCTTAACCGCAGAGCTTTCTGCAGAAAGACGGGTTCCTTGTTTGCTTAAGCATCATGCTACATTTTGTGTTTACAGATCTTCATTGTATATTTCATTGCGGGTGTGAAAAAGCTGGACGCAGACTGGGTTGAGGGCTACTCCATGGAACATTTGTCCCGGCATTGGCTCTTTAGTCCCTTCAAGTGAGTAGAGTCAAGGTAGAGGCCTTCTTGGGTTACAGGTACTGAGTGATGATTTGTCGAGTCTATGTAGCATGTGTCTGGCATTTGCCTTAGCTCCCTATTCAGACAAATGCAGAGTCAGTGATACTCAAAGATGGAAGCCTAGCTAGGTGAAAGACAGTCAGGAAGAGAAAAGAATCAGAATCAGAATCAGGTGACATAGTGTGGTCCACTTGCTTTTGGTTGCTGAGATAAGACCATGACCAGAAACAGCTTGGGAAGAAAGCGATTATTTGGCTCACACATCCAGTCCATCCTAATCAGCAGCTATCATGGAGGAAAGCCAAGGCAGGGGCTCCGTGAGCAGGAACGGAAGTAGAGATGGCTGAGGAATGCTGCATACTGGCCTGTTTCCCGTGGCTTGCTCCCGTTTTCTCTTTTAAATGAAAATTTTAATTTTATTTATGTGTATAATTGTTTTGCTTACATACATGTATGTGTACCACATGGGTGCCTGGTGTTGACGGAATCTAGAAGAGGGCATCTGATCCCTGGCACTGGAGCTACAGACAAATTTGAGCCACCATGTGGGTCCTGGGACGCAAGCCTGGGTCCTCTAGAAGAGCAGCCGGTATTAATTCTTCGCTCATCTCTCCAGGCCGGCCAGCTTGCTTAAATGTGCTGCTCTCCCACATCAGTCGTTAACCAAGACAGTGCCCCGAAAGACCTAGGCATTCTAATGGAGGCTGTCCCTCAGTTACGGTTTCCTCTTCCCAGATGGCTCCAGCTTGTGCAAGTTGACAATAAATGAAGCAGCACACTTGGTACATTAGCCAGTACCCAGCCGTTACCTTGGGTGACAGTGGTAGTTGCTTGTGTCCTTGCCTTGTCAACCCCAGTTTCTTTTGTTAATTTTTTTATTACATTTTGGCAGTACTGGGAATTAAAATTAGGGTCTTATCCATGTAAGGCAAGCACCCCAGCCCTGATCCCACTCTTTTTATTATCCTTTTTATTTTTTAAATTTTTTTGGAGACAGGGTCTCACTATGCAGCCCTAACTGGTCCAGACCTTACTATGCAGACCAGACTGACCTTGGACCCAGAGAGCTCCTCTGCCTCCTGCGTGCTGGGACTAAAGGCGGAGTGACCGTAGCCTTCCGTTGAGCCCCTCAGACAGTTCAGGGAAGACAGCTGGTGCTGCTCCTGCCCACAAAGCAGTTCTTACCAACTCTGAAACAGCTTCATCTGTGAGGTTTTCCTTTCCTTCCGATTCCCCCTCTCGTTTCTGCCCCCACTTCCTCTATTTTCCACATTCTGAAATGTGACCTGCAAGCCAAGCAGTTGCTCTTTTGCGTTTTCATTTTCACACGTGTCTATTTGCATGTATTTATAGTACGTTTGCACAGTGTGCCGTGCATACGTGTGGAGGTCAGAGGACAACGTGCACAAGTTGCTTCTCGGCTTCCACCATGTGGGTCCCAGGGAACAAACTCAGGCCTCCAGGCTTAGCAGCAAACACCTTTGTCCCTGGAACCACATCTCTCCAGCCCAAAGCAGTCAGTGTTTTCAAAGTTTTTCTTTTCTTTTGAGAAAAGATATCATCTATCCCAGGCTGGCCTCCAGCTTCCTGACTTCCTGCTTCTGCACCCCAAATATTAGGATTACAGGTGTGCACTGCCGCACCCAGTTTTCTGCGGTGCTGGGGACCAGCCCTGGCACTTATCTTTTTTTTTTTTTTTAAACTTTTTAAATTGATTCTTTGCGGATTTCACATCATGCGTCTTGATCCCACTCGTCTCCCTGTTTTTTCTCATCCGCCCTCTGCCCTTGCAAAACCTCCCCCCAAGATAAAACAAAATAAAATTTAAAAAAGAAAAGGAAAAGAAGGAAACCTCTCATGGTGGATGCTGTCGTGTGACACCATGGGTACGCAGTACACCCTTTAGTCCATACATCATTACTTGCAAGTGTTCAGTGCAGTGAGTCGTTAGTCTGCTTTGAGGCCTCTGGTTTTTGGCTCTCACTGGGACTCCACTTGGATATCCTGTTGTTGTCCTGTGTCATGGAAAGATCCTGCCACTTTGGGCCTGCAGGACTGGCCCCTTCATGCTCAGGACTCACCTTTTAACACTTCTCATTTATGATTTCCATGGGGAAAATCCTGTAGTATATCCCCTGTAGTATATTCCCTGTAGTATATTCCTGTA